CGAGGTAAATGTCCACCATTTCATCGTCTTTGTAATGAGCTGTTATTCAAATTGTATCTTAACCCGGCGCCGTGTTAGAGGGGCGAAAAGCGAAAAATAGTGCCGAAAACCAAATGATAACGAGTTTTATTGAAGATGTGGACTAAAATATTTCAAATACTAAAAATCGAACCTGCATACTGCAAGGGAAGAAAATGTTCAGCATTTCATGTTTTATATACCGTTTTCATAATGATTAAATGTCTCTTGACTAAGCTTCTATCTTAAGTATATGTCTGCGTCCGATTCATATTTTATTGTTCTTGATGATTTTGTGAACACTTTCCGTCTTGTGGTAAGTTGATTACTATCATACATTTTGACAATTAGTGAGTTATCCGTGTTTCAATTAATTCAAATCTTTGTAAACTGATAGGTAAGTGTTTAATGACCTTTGCCATGAGATATTAATAAAATTATGCGTAGATATTTCATTGTGTTTTATATTTAATTTTCTTTCATTAGTGTGTAAATAAGAGTACCATCAATCTTTTTAGTGTAAAAACAATGAAAACTTCTCTCTCTCTCTCTCTCTCTCTCTCTATATATATATATATATATATATATATTTGGTTTATTATTTTCAATAATGAACAATTATGATCAAACAAAAATTCAAAAACTTAACCCCCTCTCAAAATTTGAGGTTTTACGTTTCAGAATACGTAGAATTCGAAAAACGAATAAAAATATGTAGGTCCGTCCGCCGTTCGCACATTTTCTCCGAAACTACTCGACCAATTTTTTGAAAATCATTCACCCGAGAATGATCCTCCTTCATTGACATTTCTATTCGCTTTTTCCTTTCAAGGTGGCGACCGAAAAACCTGCGTTGCTATAGACTGTAGCGCCTACACGAATGTACCGATTGCAATGAAACTTCGCTAGTCTTATTCTCGACGCCCTTTAAATTTATCTATTTAGCATTCTTCAACGAAAAGGAGCTGAAAAAAAAAGTTGCGAGGGATGGTAAAATTAGATTCCGAATAACTCAAAAAGTATACACTTTTCAGTCGATATTGTGATGAAATGTTTCAAAGGTATTTAAATTTCATAAAAAATGAAGAAACTTTTATCCAAATCAAAGCACTATTAGTAAAGATATCGCGATTTAAAAATAGTTTTTGTTTCAAAAATTTAACCTCCTCACAAAATTTGAGATTTTACGTTTCAGGATACGTAGAATTCGAAAAGCGATTAAATTATTTTTGTCTTACTCCTTCCGCCGTACGTCGTCCAATTTGTTTGTAATGATCTTCTCACGAATTGTCGAAAAAATCTAGGATGTATAATGTAAATAAATTAGCATTTTGCTGAGTCCGACCTTTTAAATTTATTTTACTAATGAGAGTAGAAAAAATTAATTAATTTAAATAGGAAAATAACACATTTTTTGGTGTGCCTATGTGCTAGAGAATCAATATTAATATTCATATTCATATTTCAAAAATGTTTATAATATAGATATTTTGATAGTTGCCATGACAATATTATTATTAGACCTACTTTATGGTTACAGTGAACATCAAGACACACCCTCGTCCTCCCATCGTACTCCTCCCTCTTCGCCCCCCCCCCCTCCAAACCTCCGAGACTCACTGTAATTTCAAATTCGTAGCTAAATATGGCCTTTTTTTATTATTATTAAAAAAAAAGTACAGTCCCAATATTATCGGCGTTCTTCACCAATGGAATTGTGTCGCTGCTAAAATTTACACGATTTTTCTTCCATGAAAGTACTTAACTATTCGCACTGGCAAAATAGTTTTAGTAATAATTGACAAGGTTATGTGATAATAAATTAAAAAGGTCTTGTTAATTAATTATCATACATTTGACTGCAACAAAATACAACAAAAACATTTTTTTTTGTCATAGGTTCAGAAATGATTAGTTCAGTCTTTTTAAAGTGGTTTTCGAAAACGGAAGTTGATGAATTAATTTACTATTGATTCATAATAATTAAATTAATTAATTCATCTAAAATAAAATAATAGTTGTCTTAATTGGTAAATTATTATTTTGATTCAACAATGGAGAATAATAATTTATTTGGATAAAGTTCAAGTAGAAACGAAACCATTAAGAGGAAATGACCGAATTATTTCGTAAGATTGCTAATGTTTAAACAACTTTAATCAGACTTGAAAATTAATCAAAACAAATTAAACCGATTAACATTTATCCTTAGACATTCGTCGCTCCCGGGCAATGACATCATCTGCACTAAAACATTAAATTTATTTCTTAAGTTGTTTTATTTACGTAATATTTGAATTGTGTTTTATTTGATATGTCTCTAATTTATTTGTTTTATTAATTAGTTTAAAATAATTATTGTCGTTCGCTTGATATTTTTTTTTCAATTCCCGACAAGTTTCAAACGCCCTTTTCGAGGTGGGCCTTAACTAAGGCCGGTACTGCTAATTAGTTTTGGTCTTAGTGCTCTATATTTAATTATATTTAAACTATTCTATACTGGTTTAAAAAATGTCTAAAATAAAAACATCATCTCATGTAAATGGATATTTATATATAACAAATGTTCATTCAACTATCAACCAGCCATTTTGTTAAAACTTTTGGAAATACAATTATAAAATATCGGTTTATTAATCTCTAATGTAATTGTAAGTTTCCATACAATATTTTGAATTATTAACTTGGGTTCTAAGAGTTCAAGAAGGGACTGAGCTGTTTATCCGTCGATCTGGAGCTGATTCTGGAATTAGTGTATTTAAAAAAAGATTCTAAAGTGTTTTGAATGAATCCATAAATTGGATGTGCCTTTTTCGAATATACTGTGAGATCGTAGAAACTTCAAAGATGTCGTGCCTTAAATTTCCAAATGACTTTTGTCATTTACGTTCTTGAGGGGTAGCATTCAGGCTGAAGCCCTCCACTCCCCCCAAAAGTGGTAAAACATAATCATGTTTTACGGAAAAAAAAATATTAAAAACTATCTCTTAAAGTATTCTTGTTCATGTAATTACATTTCATTGGACTTCAATAACGACTTAAACATCATTTCATATAGTTAGTTAATTTTTTTTTCAAATTAATTATCGTTATATATATATATATATATATATGAAAAAAACCTTTCGGGCTGAAGCTTCCCCCTCCCAAAAAAAAAAAAAAAAATTAAATCCTGGATCCACTATTGGCTTGAGCTACTGGTTTGGTTGAAGACCGTGGTACATACTCCTTTTTATCAAATTATTAACCTACAAATATTTTATTTAGCGAAATTCTCGGAACTGGAGGCGTTTTCAATCCTCAGGTCGGCAAAGTTTGTATATTTAATTTGGTACTAAATCGTTATTTATGAGATTTGATATTTGATATATGATATTTGCGTTCCAGATTAATCGAGAGATGACTTGAGCACAAAGTCGAGGAAAAAGTTATCCTACGATTAAAGTGGGAAGCAAATGGGTATTTACGAGTTTTTAGTACCTAATTAAAATGGCAAAGTTTGCCGACCTTAAGATTGAAAACGTTCTAATTTCAAGAATTTTCGTATATAAAATATTTATAGTTTACGAAGAGATGAAGCTATTACCACCGTCTGTATCAAGCAGTTTATACCTGTATTTTTAAAGGCTATATCCATTTTGACACAAAATTTGCTATTACACTCCAGGATTGTACTTATCTGATATACATAATGTAAGTTTTGTCAACATTTTAATTTTTTAGCTAGACTCCAAAAGCGTCATAGCAGCAATAGGTAACCCATGGCCAAGCAATTCAATAATAAGGGATATATTGAATCTATGGTGGGAATTAAATGAAAGAACGGTCAGAGTGATATTTGTCTGGGTTCCATCTCATAGTGGTATCTCAGGCAATGAAAGAGCAGACCATGCAGCTAACTTAGCAAGGAAGGGAGAGGCACCAACCATAATTTCTATAAATTATATCACAGTAGAAGACTGGGTATACGCAACAAAAAAGAAGTTGTTGGAAAATTGGGTTAATCGATGGAAAAATAGACTGTCAAAATTAATGGAAATAAAAACAGACTGCAACAAGTGGGCTAGTAGCACAAGAATATCCAGAAGAGAAGAAACAATATTGTGCAGAATACGAATTGGTCACTGCCTGTTTCCTCACGGATACCTTCTCAGAGGTCTGGAACCACCCACGTGCCAAAATTGCGACAATAAACCACAGTCAGTAAAACACCTGTTAGTAGAGTGCAACGAGTTCAACAACATTCGGCAAAAATTGAAACTACCAATGAAAATGAAAGAAATATTAAGAGACAACGAAGAAGGACTCACCACCCTATTCCGGTACTTAATGGAGACGAATTATTACAATAGAATATAGAAAACTAGCCGCCAATGACCCTCTAGGGTAGAGGCGATTACAAATAAAAAAAAAAAAAAAAATTAGAGTTACGTGGATTCTGGAGAATATTCAGTGAAAATTCGGATTAGATTATAATTTTTTTTTCCCAATTGTAATATTTGCTCTTACTATATATATCGCTCATCCATTGAAACAATGTTATAACTAATTTTATATATTATATTATATAATATATTGTTATATTATATATAATTCTATAAACAATATTATGTAAATAATATAATTTTATAGGAGAGCCAAAATAATTATTATTGTATAAATCAAATATTAAAAAAAAAAAATTGTACCAGCAAAAATTCTATTATCCATTCAAATTTTACTTATATAACTATGACGTAGATTCGATTAAACCTGTATTTTTAATTTCACAGTTGAATCGTTGTTACTTCACATACAGGTTAGGAAAAAGTTAAAATTTTGGTCCAAATTATATAGAGAAAACAAAAAAAAAACCATCACGTGGACAAACATTTGTATTATAAATATTGTTTTAATTACACCAACCTATTGTTCTTTGAAGATATTATACAATCATGTCTCAGTGCGAGGGAAAATTTAATGGAAATCCCTGACCTCATATCAAAATGAATGGCCTTAATTATGTTAAACACGGCTAGAAGCCTATTGTATGTTTTTATTTCAGTTGAGGTGGAGTCTAGTCACTGTAGTGGTTGTGTTCACATCGTCTCCGTGCTATACAGTTTAAAAAAAGTGCTGTAGTTGACTTTGGTGAATGAATCTGTGCAATAGTGATCAACTACTATTAAAGAACAAACTGTTAAAATTTACTGAGTATCACACGAGCCGATAGTACCAAATAAGGTAAAAATTATTTTACATTTTAGTAGGCAAATTAGGCAGGCCTGTAACAGGATTGTCTGAGTGGGGGAAGCTCCGCCCTTTTCTTATCTATCCAGGCCTTGAACTTCAGTACCTCACTGGCCCTTAGTTGGAGTTACGCTATTTGAAGAACACTACATTTGCGTGTTCAATTAAAATAAAAGGAACATTTATTTGAATATTTTCCGTTCAAAATATTAACATTTTAATTAATATCGCCCAACTCCGTGAAATATATCCTTAAAAATGGTTTGTACTAACGACGAGATTATGCAGGCTGTTAAAGAAATAAACACAAATCTGGAAAAGAATAATAAACTAATGGCCGAGGTAATTGAGAAGTTAGATACATTAAAAAAACATTGTATCCGCTCAGAGGAAAAAAATACTCGATTAGAACGAGAAATTATATATCTAAAAGGACAATTAAGGCGGAATAATCTCGTTATACATAACATAGCAATGACGGAAAACTAGGATGTGTTATAGCCCTGGAGCCAGGGCCCAAAAATCGACCTGATCGCAGGCGAAGGTTTGATTGTAAATTACGAAAGTGTGTGTTATTCTGAGTAAAAAGAACCTTGTCTGCCGTTCCGGAGCCGCTGCTTTCAAAAATGGCGGCTGATCTAAAGAATATTAGGTCAATAATTTGAGCATCGAAACGGGAAATCCATTGCGAAAAATGTGAGAAAAGTTTTTATTTTTTTAACTTGTATATATGGGTTTAGACATGTAAAAAACAAAATTGCTAAACTTTTTACAGCCAAAAAAGTCCGATTTTTTCGATATTTTTTGTGTTTTTCATCTATAACTCATAAATGATGAATCAAAGCGAAAAATGTTTTCTTTAATAAATTAAAGAACGTTACATTTTGCGTCAAACGAGTAGATGAACTTTAAAATTTGATTACGCGGTAAGGTATAAAACCACGGTCAACCAACGTTGAGTTTCAGCAAATTTTTCAAAAACTGAGACAAATTTCTATAAATGGCCCTGTAACTTGGAAATGAGTTCCCTAAGAGGAAAAACTCATAGAATCAAAGTTGTAGAGCATCAAATTTCGCGTATACTCAGTATCAACTAATTTAATGTAGGTCACTTGCAGCGAACAAAATCGGTAATCTCCCGATGGTTAGAAATTGGTAATGAAGGTAAACATGATTTTCAATATTTCAACAGTATGGGTATCTATTCTACTGAGTTAGTTTTGTTCAAAGTCTGTTGCATGCAGTATAAGCCTCTTTTTCAGCTCTCAATAGCAAAAGATTTTGGAAAACGATGTCCCGAAAGATACCGAATTTTATAAGGGAATAACGAATCCCGATTCGAGATATGTGATTGGCCAACAATAAAAATGTCAGTACTCAGTATACGCAAAATTTACTGCTGTACAACTTTGATTCTATGGGTTTTTCCTCTTAGGGAACTAATTTCCAAGTCACAGGGCCATTTATAGAAATTTGTATCAGTTTTTGACAAATTTGGTAAAACTCAACGTTGGTTGACCGTGGTTTTATACCTTACCGCGTAACCAAATTTTAAAGTTCATCTACTCGTTTGACGCAAAATTTAACGTTCTTTAATTTATTAAAGAAAACATTTTTCTCTTTGATTCATCGTTTAGGAGTTATAGATGAAAAACACAAAAAATATCGAAAAAATCGGACTTTTTTGGCTGTAAAAAGTTTACCCTTGGTGGCCTGCGTTAGCAATTTTGTTTTTTACATGTCAAAACCCATATATACAAGTTAAATAAATAAAAACTTTTCGTTTCGATCTTCAAATTATTGGCCTAATATTCTTTAAATCAGCCGCCATTTTTTAAAGCAGCGGCTTCGGAACGGCAGACAAGGTTTTTTTTACTCAGAATAACAAACACTTTCGTAATTTACAATCAAACCTGCGATCAGGCCGATTTTTGGGCCCTGGCTCCAGGGCTATTACATAATGATTAAGTAAATGATTTAAGTAAATGATTCCTTAAAAACTGTCAATATCGCACTAACAGAATATGCCGTAAATAACTGCTTCAGAATAGGAAAGGGCCCCATATTATTATCATTAAATAACAACTCCATAAAATTAGTTTTGGCTAATTAGTTTTCCCCCCATTCCAAGAGAAAAGAGCCTTTCCCACAACAAATTTTGGTTGATAGAGTCGAAGGCCTTCCTAAGGTCGACAAACACTGCGTAAACGTAGCTGCCCTTTGACCTCAAATTAATGTTGACAACTGACATCAATGTGAATATGTGATCATTGCATCCCCTGCCTGTTCTAAAACCAGCCTGTTCCTCCGGTATTAATTTTTCTAATTCAGCCCATTTCATGATTCTGTTCCTTAGAATGCTAGTGAATAACTTTGCTAGAGTATTAAGTAAGGATATGCCTCTGTAGTTGTTCGGATCCTTTTTATCACCTTTCTTATACAGAAGATGCAAGTTAGATTCTGCCCACATTCCTGGAATTTGTTCAGAATTCAATACGTTATTAAATAAATTTAATATGTAGTGCTCCCAAGAGGGGTTGAGACATTTAACAACCTCATAAATTATATTATCAGGTCCTGGAGATTTATGTTTTTTACAGGTACCTATGCTTTGTTGCAGTTCTTCCAATGATATATTGATATCCAGGAGTGGATGAGTTACGGAGAAAAAGTATGTTTGATGTATCGTTTTTTGGCCGTATAGATTCGTGTAATATTGAAACCAATCTTTCAGACTTATTTCATTATTTTGATTGTGAAATGGTCTCAACATATTCACCGTCTTCCAGAACTCTCCAGTGTTTTTTACAGTTCTCAAATTTGTAATTACTGATGCTCTAAACTCCATTTTTTTTCCTTTTTATTAGTTTTCTATATTCATCTCTGGCTTGAATGTAGTCCTGTCAATAAACTGTTCTTTTGCATTATTCTTTGCAACTTCTTGAGATTTTGTTTACCTTCCTGCATTCCTGATCAAACCATTTGTGCTTAGGTTGCGAAGTGGTATTCGCGATCATCTTCCTCGTAAATATCAAAGCTGACTCCAACAAGTTCTGCTGCATTGCCTGTTTTAAGTTATCATACAGCTGGTTTACATCTTCAGAATAGAAATAAATTTTTTCAGAGTTGGAAATATTTTCACAAAATAAATTAATGTTGTCTTCATCCCACGGTGAATAGTTGGTAACTAAGTATTCTATTGGCGAAGCTATTCTGTTCATAGGAGGATTTTGTGCTCTAATGGTCTTTAAGGAGGTAATATAAGCCATGTGATCCAAAAGCCCTGATATGCTAACGACTTCCATGTCTATAAATCTGTCCATACAATTTTCATTTATACATACCAGATCGATCACCGATCTCCCCTTGGTTGTAACGAAAGTATATTTTCCTGGTCTATCCGAAACACTACGGCCATTGCATATTATCATCCCCAAAGACTCCAGAGTTTCTACCAGAATTTTTCCTCGCCGGTTCACATGCTTGTGATATGATGCTCTTTTTTTGTAAAGTCGTAAGCAAAACAAAAATTCTTTCTCTAAGGCATTTAAATTTCCCACGTGTCCATTAAAATCACCGGTTAAGATAATGCGGCTATACGGATAGTTAGACATTATGTGAGTCATGACGTTATGAAGTTCATCTATGCTAGAAACAATATCATTATTTGGAGAAAGACAGATATTTCCCAATGTTAAAAACGTGTTATTTAATTTTATATTCAAATAAATCCAAAAGCGGTTGATTTCCAAGACGGTAACTTCGTGAGCTATGCTGCTATGAATCAGTATTGCCAATCCCCCACTACCTCTGCCAAGTTATATGTGTTTTCACGGCATAAGAATAGTATGCAAAGTAATCATTGACCCAGGACGGTACGGTAAATTCATTAATTATTCAGGTCGCTACCATACTGATAATTTTATTTTATTTGATTATATTTGATTATATACTTTGATTTATTAAATTTTTGTAGCCATTCATGTTACAGAATAATATTTTTAATAATTCTTAGTATGAATGGTTTGCAGTTAAATTCGCCGGCCTTTCAGCTTTAACATTTATTATTATTTTAGATGACAACGAATTATCATAAGCAAAAGGTCAAGTGGAGATGAGATCCTTCGATGAGCTTCTGAACTTGTACTCACCCAATTTTTCCTCTATTTGTTTTCTTCTTGCTGCTTGAGAGGGTTCCAACTCTTGATGGTCATCATTGAAGTTCTCTAACAGTGCTTCTACTTCATTGAGTGCATATAAAGTCCCTCTTATTTTAAAGAGACCTCTTTTGTAGTACGCGTGAGGATCAATAACCTTTAATTTGTTTATGTAACTGAAAATCTTTTTGCCCTGTTCTCTTTCTTCGGGGGTTTTGTCATGGCTCACATAATTTTTTTTTTGATTTTAGAGCATCTCTATTCTTAAATATTTCATATTTTATGGAGTTGTTATTTAATGATAATAATATGGGCCCCTTTCCTATTCTGAAGCAGTTATTTACGGCATATTCTGGTAGTGCAATATTGACAGTTTTTAAGGAATCATTTACTTTATCTAATAGCCCTGGAGCCAAGGCTATTAGATATCCAGTGAGGTATGTGGTGCATGCAACTGCCTTGTAACTGACCCGGTAACTCATTTTCTGATCCAATGTATCAAGTTTAACGAGCCGAGAAATAAGTACTTGAAGGCATTTATCACTGAATCCAGAGAAGATGCTAGTGTGGGGGAGATACTGAAAATAGACTACGAAAAAAATAAACCAACTGCATTATTTCATACAGGGCTGTTCATTGAACTGTTAAGTGGTAAAGTTAATCATATAACATATAATAATGCTTATTTATATTGTCATTTGTCTTATACCTCTCGAACATTTAAAAATAAAAATGTATTATTGAAAAAAAAATGCTTTACTAATTATTATGTATATATATATATCGTTTACTAATCTGTTATTATATTAGCCATACTTAATGCTGTGGACATTGTTAATGTTATGTTTGAATGCAGTACTAGACTCAAGATCTAACATTGTTAATTATACCATTATATTTATTTGTACAGGAATTTCCTTAGACAAATAAAATAAACTATCTATCTATTTCAGTTGAGGAAAAAACATTTATAGGCATTACTGTAGTGGACTGAGGCTTTGAATTCGGCAAGTAAAGAGTTTCTGCATTCAAGTTAAAAAATGGCTCCTTTGAAATATGTGAGTTACTAATATTAATTTTTAAAGAATAGTGATATTTTGCTTTTTCACTGTTGCGAAAAGTAAGTATAGTTTGCATGGATACTAAAGTGTTATAAAGTGTTATTTTTTTTGTTCATTCTAAAATTTCTTCTTATCAAATAACTTGGTATTTAGTCAAATCTATAGGAATTACACTTATTAAAATAAATACGATTTTGATGAAATTTTGAGGGATGGATTGGTAGTTTCATGGACCCATATCAGTTTTATTAAATTCCATTCACTAATTCACATCTTTTACCAGAGTTCCTGCTTTGGTGAAAAAGTCCCTTATTTGAGAAAATCCAAGGTTGGTAGGGGAATAAAAGGAAACAATTTTAAACAATCAAAGTCCAATTTGAGCCTGACAGCTAAATCTATTTTTTTTTTATAATACTTATATAAGTAAAATAGGTATATAAAGAGTTATTACATATTATATTACGTATTATTTTGTATATATTTGGGCTCAAGGGATTTTTAAATTCGTTCTGTGGGAGAATCTGACTGACCAAAAGGGAAGTTAAATAAAATATGGTGGAAATGTTGTCTTTTATACAAACCATTTTTTTAACAATCACCATGTTTACTGTCATAGTGTAGAACAGGGCACTTGCCACTGCTTCACTTTCTTGACAATACTCCCACGACATTAACTGTCAGCGTGTAAACGAGGATTGAAGTCGCCACTGGATAGAAATTTTGGCCAGAAACGGAGAAAGTGCATAAACGAGTATAAAAGAGAAAGGAGGACTATGGCCACCCATTCGCTTAATGAATCCAGTTGATTTGGATCCACCATAGTGTGTGGACAGATTTTGAAAACGTGGAGATTTTAATTCCGTCATTTTCACTTTTGTTTTCTATATTGAGAGGCTGAGACTTAGGAAATGGTTAGTTTATTAGTTAGTAATTTTTTAACCTTGATGTTTCAAAAATAAATCAGTAGCCGGTTGAGTTATGATTCTATGTTTACTAGCCAGTGTCCGTCATTTATTAAGGTAGACACCTGAATGTTATAGTACGTTAGGCTTGTGTAAATTCAAAAAAAGTGTATTCTACAACTCGCCTTCATTTATCCTCCATTGGTTGGCCAAGTAAGCTACATTATTCAGTTTTATATAATCATAAAAATAATGGTCTAGGTTTGGTTCTGTTTACTATATTAATATGTTTATCTATATATATAAAAACGTAAATGTTTGTTTGTTCAAAACCGCCGAAACTTCTTCATCGATTGCTTTGAAATATTGACATAATGTTTCTATCGCATTCAGAATTGTTTTTATATACATTTAATCACCCTCCGGTCTTTCGTTTCGGAAAAGCGGCCAAAAAACATGTATCGCTATAGACGATAGTGCCTAACTGGCTGTGACGATTTTAATTTAACTTGGCTAAAGTCTTCTCCTTGAAGCCCTTTTAATTTATCTATATAACATCCTTCCCCGAAAAGAGTATGAAAAAAAGTTATGATGCATTGAAAACTATATTTGCGAATAACTCAAAATGTACACAATTTTTGTTTAATTGTACCCATCATTATTTGAAAGATTTCTTGATTAAGAGCAAATAAAAAAAAAATCACTAAAATTGGACGATTTGGTGCGGAGATATAATGCTTTAAACATTTAGTAATTTTTCATGACAGATTTAGAGACCAATTGCTTCTTACATAGTCAATTATATGTAGTGAATCCTAGAGTTAGAAAACCAGACAATCCCTATATCTACACAAAGAAGCGAACAAGAAAGAATATCGTATATCCACAAGTATTGTTTCATAAAATATATTAATAACCTCTGATATCTTTTCTACTTCTTTTTTTTTTGTTTAACAAGAAGGAGCCACAGCAACGCGTGCAGCTAGTAAGATAATATAAATTATCAACGAAGAAACAAAATCTAGTGTGGTGCTCGCATCACACAAATTCCACTTAACACAGTTTTTTTTTGTTGATTAATATAACATTGTATCACAACTAAAGACTTTAGTAGCTTCAATGGTAGACATATTTAAATTGAAACCTCCATAGAACAGCTTATTTTGTTTTCATAATACCACTTTCACAAAAGAATTGTCTTGAAAGTTACACCATAGGATTCAGGAGGGAGAGAGGAGAGGCGCGGAAAGTTAGAAAAAAGTAAATCTTAAAAAAACTACAAACCGGACACTTTTATCAATATTAATTTAATTGAAAAAATGAATTGTGTTAAACAATTAATTTTAATTTTTACATATTTTAAGCCGAAAGAGCTAATAATAATTAATAAGAGCCAAGCAATGTTGATCAAGCTAGGTATTAGGATGGGAGATCAACCCAATAATACACTATATTCTCAGTCACCATTCTGTGTATACAGTACTGTAATTTGTAGAATCTTTTTTTTTTTATTATTATTGAAATTTACAACTGTATTAAATTATAAATAGAACAAGTAAGTATGAAACAAGTACATGGCATATACAACATGAAGAGAAACTACCCATTGATAGCACTCCAATTATATTTCCATATTAGAAGGTCCATAGGCCATCTTCTTTTCAGACGTCTCTGAAGGTTATCAGGTATAGAAGAGGAAGCAAGGTTGGAAACAAGTGGGTTCGGATGGTTCAGAAGTTTATATGAAGGAAGGTATCTGGATTGAGCTAAATCGGAACATATGGTACATTAGGTCGTGGATATTTATTGTGCAAAGTAGGAGCATTGAGGATTTACGAGATTTGGATTATAGGATTGGTACGAGGAATTTATGGTTTAGTAGAGCCCCAAAGTTCGATCCCGTATGTCCAAATAGGCATTATTATAGTTATATATGTGAGTCTTTTGTATATAGTTGGAGGTTTAGAGCGTTTGTCTAGTAAGTGTTGCGGTAGTCGAAAACGTCAGGCGGCTTCTAGTCGTTTCAGTCTGGTATGGGGATAATTTGTAGAATTAAATGTCAAAAAACTACAATCTCCACAAACAAAAACTTACTCCTCAATAATCGTTAATACCAAAGAACGCTTTTGATAGCCTTATCTTAACTTAAACTAAACATTTGATGTTTTAAATTTTCCAGGGGGGAAGGAATTGACGATCCATTATATATAATAACAATATATCAAGGTTAATTTCGTACACCAAGGTTTTAGGTATGTATATATACATAAGGTATGGAATTAACCTGGTTCACAAGTGAATTGCAAATTTCATTCTCTCAGAAAATTTTCGAGGAACCGGTGAGAATGTGGGACTATTAAATTATATGTTTATTAAATATTTAAAAGAATCATATAATTCCATCATTGTTCTATGTCTGAAGTGTGATTGATCAAGAAAGGTTGAAAATTGAATTGGTGAAAGTCGTTACCTAGACGCTACAAAGAAGTCATTTATTTTTTTGTTATTTTCATTATCAGAAATTCGTCATAATGAGCTCGTGTAAGGTACTCCATGCTTATCTACTTTACTGATGTAAGGAGATTGTAATTACTTAATGGCAGATCTCCAATTGGTATTGTTTGTCTCAAGATTGCCGATATCAGTTCGATATTGCTAAAAATGTTTAAAAGGCTTTATTATGAACAATAACATTTTTTTTCTAAATTATTCGATTGTTGAAGGTCAAAAATCGCTTATGAAAAAGAATCAATAAAATTGATAATATAAATTTTATTACATTTGTTAACTGAAGTACCTTGTAAAACACCCCCACTAATAGTCCAGTCAATGAATGCTCAAAAATGGGTATAGAAGAAAATGGCAGGAACACAATTTTTGACTTTGGGAAATTGTTTAGACTAGTAAGGAGGTAAAAATAATAAAAGTCCCTACTACTACTTAGTGAGGCAGATGTGGGAGGGGCAGGGTTCGCCTAATAAGTCACTTTCTTCGGGTTTTCACTTATATCAGGAAAACTATCCATCGCACCGACAAAGACGTTCTATACAAAATTAAAGCTGATAAAATTTTCAATATGAATGAATATTTACTTTTTTTGCTATCTTGTTTAGTTTCCGAGAAGATCAGTCCTCATCTATCGCTAATGTGGAAACAATATTTGTTTACCTCATATTTTTTACTGTATTTAACTAGCTAACTCTTGAATGCTTTGTTTTATAATTATGTCATGCAGATGAAAGTTTTTAATAATTAAATTTTCTTTAATGTATATTATTTTACAAGTTTATGATACAACATTTACTTATCTGGAGATAAATAAATGTATATTTAATGAGATAATAAAAACTCATCAACACACATTTGCTTTCCACTTGAATCGTAAGATAATTTGACCATGTAATAAGGAAAAAATGTGGCCTACAAAATACTGTGCCGTTTGGCGTGATCCCAACGTGTCAAAACAACGAGCATATAATTGCCAAACGATCCAATATTCTTTTTTTTTTTTATTATTAAGGAAAATAATACAGTTAGCCACAATCTGGGGCATTAAGTATTATGGATCTATGTTTACATTCATTCATTTTATTTACAAATTGAAAAAAAAAAATAAGAAGAAAACATGTAAGTAAAAATAAGATTGAGGCTTTCATGAAGTTCATCAGAAATAACATTGTACAATATTGATTGGCTTTTCCAAATACCAAATTAAAAAATCTGGTTAACATTAATAATGAATAAGTATGTCAACAAATAACAAAATAAAACAAATTTTAAGTAATGTTTCAAGATGTATTTGTATATTAAGAACTAAAATATATTTTAAGTCATTATAATTGTTTTTTCTTAAAAAAAATATATATTAATTCTTACAAGTACTTAACGCCGAAATCATAATATTCGTACAACAATATTAATAAAAACAAAAATATATTAAACAATTTATGTTTACGTGGTGCTCCTTGCTGCTGTTTTTTGGTTTATTATTTTCAATAATCAATTGGGAATGGGTTTAAATTTTTTGTTGTGTTTACAATTGAAAATTTCCGTTCATATTTTACGTTTAGGACGACAAAGTACACTTTCTGTCCGTTTTAGTTTATTATTTTCAATAATCAACCATTGTGATCGACCAAAAAATTCAAAACCTTAACCCCCTCTCAAAATTTGAGGTTTCACATTTCAGGACGCGTGGAATTCGAAAAACGAATATTTTTTTGTCCGTCCGCCGTCCGCGCATTTTCTCCGAAACGACTGGACCGATTTTTTCCAAATTTTGATATAAAATCAGATGTCACCCGAGGATGATCCTCCTTCATCGACATTACTTTCCGCCTTTAACTTTCAAAATGGCGGCCGAAAAACCTGCGTTGCTATAGACTGTAGCTCCTAAACGAATGTACAGATTTCAATGAAACTTCGCTAAAGTAATTTTCTCGACGCCCTTTAAATTTATCTATATAACATACTTCAAAGAAAAGAAGCTGGAAAAAAAGTTACGAGGGATAGTAAAATTAAATTCCGAATAACTCCAAAAGTTTTTACTTTTTGTTTATATTGTTATATTTGTTGATATTTTAAAGTTTCCTATAAAACAAAAAAAAAATCGTTAAAATCGGACAATTAGGAGCCAAGATATGGTCTCCGGTTTTTTTATATGTTCTACTCCAAATGTTATATCCTTGGTTTGGTTTTTAAATTTTGAATGTGTTACTGAACTAATGCTATTTTTTTTTTAGCATATTACTAATGATTAAAGAAAAACAGTTTAGTCCAATAATTGGAATCACCTTTTGTTCTTTTTTTCTTTGTAACTCGGAAGGTAATGTTACTTTAGATGTATAATTGTTTGGAAATAATAAAAACCATTGTGAAATAATTTGCAACTTTTTTTTTTTTTTTTTTTTAAACAGAGGTGAATCCACTTCTGAAATTAAACCCAACTTTTGAGCGTACAATTAGTACGTTTGCAAATTAGTAAAAACAAATTTTAATACATAAAAAAAAATCGAAAAATATATCTTTTCCTTTTTGAATCTCCATGCTTTTAATTATACTTCACACGCTCAAAATGATTTTTTTTCCACCTTGAAAGTAGTTACCTTAGCAAAGGCGGATCTACGGGGGAGGGGGACTTTCGGGCTGAAGCCCCCCCCCCCCCAAAATGGTAAAATATTACCATGTTTTACGGAAAAAAAATATTAAAAACTATCTCATAAAGTATTCTTGTTCCTGTAATTACATTTAATAGGACTTCAAGAACCACTTAAACACCATTTCATATAGGTAATTAATTTCTTTCTCTTTTTTTCAAATTAATTATCGTTATATGTATATGAAAAAAAAATCTTTCGGGCTGAAGCCCCCCAAAATTAAATTCTGGATCCGCTAGTGTGCCTTAGTACTTATTTTATGAAATAACTTACTAACGAAGTTCACATACCGTACTTCTCAGGTATGTATCCATTCAATAGACCGATCTCATGTGCCTTCTTCAGGATGTCCCAAGGATATTCTCCGGTCTGGTCGTAATAAGCAGCTTTTGGGAGGATCTCTTCTCGAGCGAACTTCCTGGCAAGTTCCTGAAGAGCCCTTTGGGATTCGTTATGAAAAGAAAGCTATGAATGTAAAGAAAATTTAATTGCGAATTACTTAAAAAGTATACATTTTTTTCTTGATTAGATCCATTATTATTTGTAAATTTAGTGAATCCCTTACAAAACGAAGAAAAGAAATCGAGCATGCCTCCACGTATTCACACGAAATTCAGCAGGAATTTAGGGCTACACTACACAAAATGAAACCGTACCCCCCTAATTATTTTAAGACTTGTGAAATACAATAAAAATGTGTTAGGAACTTTTTTTCATTTGTACCTTATACAGGTATTAGATCAAAAAGTAACTTATATGGCTTTGAAGAGCAATAATTCGACTTACCAACGGTTATACTCGCACTAATTTAGAAGAAAATCATGAGAATAAAAATTATAATGAAAAGTAAAGCAGTTGCTATGACTACTACCTCAACACAACTATCTACCTTTACAATATCATACGACAGTTTTTGCCATTTTCCGGCCCTCAGGACCGATGTATTTTGGTGAATGAGGTATCAAACGGAAGGCTATCAAATGGATCTGTGACGAATCATAGTAATATCCATCCGAAATTTCAGAATTTTGCACCATTTTGAAAAATCATAACCTAATAAAAATGTCCTCTCCTTAAAAAAAATCTTGAGCCATAGAACCTCTTCTGGACAATCTTGTGTAAGACGATAAATTTTAAACAACACGCGTTGTGTCATTATGACATCATCTATGTATAACACACGTTCTACATTGTCTTCAAGATTATCATTTTATTTATACTCGACAACTGATAAAACATTCGAAAGATGTCTGTCTCGAATTAATGGTCTCTTGAATATCTTTAATAAAAAAAACAGAGTAAACAGATAACTAAATGTCAAAACATTTAAATTTGAAACGATATTTAATCAAATTTTTCCTTAATTTTTTTTCAGTTGTTGAATTCAAGCGTGAGAGTTTTTCAGTCATACACCAGATGTCTTTCTTCTGCGGTCCGACAAACAACAGGCCTATGTTTCGGCAAGTATTTATAGCTTTTTATTTAATTTTTTTTTATAAAAAAATAATTGATAGAAAACATTATTTTTTGTTTAAGAACTGAACGAATCCCAAAGAGCTCTTCAGGAACTCGCCAGGAAGTTCGCTCGAGAAGAGATCCTCCCAAAAGCTGCTTATTACGACCAGACCGGAGAATATCCTTGGGACATCCTGAAGAAGGCACATGAGATCGGTCTATTGAACGGATACATACCTGAGAAGTACGGTATGTGAACTTCGTTAGTGCGAGTATAACCGTTGGAAAGTCGAATTATTGCTCTTCAAAGCCATATAAGTTACTTTTGGATCTAATACCTCTATAAGGTGCAAATGAAAAAAAAGTTCCTAACACATTTTTATTGTATTTCTCAAGTCTTAAAATAATTAGGGGGTTACGGTTTCATTTTGTGTAGTGTAGCCCTAAATTCCTGCTGGGTTTTGTGTGAATACGTGGAGGCACGCTCGATTTCTTTTCTTCGTTTTGTAAGGGATTCACTAAATTTACAAATAATAATGGATCTAATCAAGAAAAAAATGTATACTTTTTAAGTAATTCGCAATTAAATTTTCTTTTCATAACGAATCCCAAAGGGCTCTTCAGGAACTTGCCAGGAAGTTCGCTCGAGAAGAGATCCTCCCAAAAGCTGCTTATTACGACCAGACCGGAGAATATCCTTGGGACATCCTGAAGAAGGCACATGAGATCGGTCTATTGAACGGATACATACCTGAGAAGTACGGTATGTGAACTTCGTTAGTAAAATATTTCATAAAATAAGTACTAAGGTATACTAGCGGATCCAGAATTTAATTTTGGGGGGGCTTCAGCACGAAAGATTTTTTTTTCATATACATATAACGATAATTAATTTGAAAAAAAGAGAAAGAAATTAATTACCTATATGAAATGGTGTTTAAGTAGTTCTTGAAATCCTATTAAATGTAATTACAGGAACAAGAATACTTTATGAGATAGTTTTTAATATTTTTTTTCCGTAAAACATGGTAATATTTTACCATTTTGGGGGAGAGGCTTCAGCCCGAAAGTGCCCCTCCCCCGTAGATCCGCCTGTGCTAAGGTAAGTACTTTCAAAGTGGAAAAAAAATCATTTTGAGCGTGTGAAGTATAATTAAAAGCATGGAGATTCAAAAAGGAAAAGATATATTTTTCGATTTTTTTTTATGTATTAAAATTTGTTTTTACTAATTTGCAAACGTACTAATTGTACGCTCAAAAGTTGGGTTTAATTTCAGAAGTGGATTCACCTCTGTTTAAAAAAAAAAAAAAAAAAAAAAAAGCTGCAATTTATTTCACAATGGTTTTTATTATTTCCAAACAATTATACATCTCAAGTAACATTACCTTCCGAGTTACAAAGAAAAAAAGAACAAAAGGTGATTCCAATTATTGGACTAAACTGTTTTTCTTTAATCATTAGTAATATGCTAAAAAAAAAAAATAGCATTAGTTCAGTAACACATTCAAAATTTAAAAACCAAACCAAGGATATAACATTTGGAGTAGAACATATAAAAAAACCGGAGACCATATCTTGGCTCCTAATTGTCCGATTTTAACGATTTTTTTTTTTTTTTTTTTTTTATAGGAAATTTCGTAAACTTTAAAATATCAACAAATATAACAATATCAACAAAAAAGTAAAAACTTTTGGAATTATTCGGAATTTAATTTTACTATCCCTCGTAACTTTTTTTCCAGCTTCTTTTCGTTGAAGTATGTTATATAGATAAATTTAAAGGGCGTCGAGAAAATGACTTTAGCGAAGTTTCATTGAAATCTGTACATTCGTTTAGGAGCTACAGTCTATAGCAACGCAGGTTTTTCGGCCGCCATTTTGAAAGTTAAAGGCGGAAAGTAATGTCGATGAAGGAGGATCATCCTCGGGTGACATCTGATTTTATATCAAAATTTGAAAAAAATCGGTCCAGTCGTTTCGGAGAAAATGCGCGGACGGCGGACGGACAAAAAAATATTCGTTTTTCGAATTCTACGCGTCCTGAAATGTGAAACCTCAAATTTTGAGAGGGGGTTAAGTTTTTGAATTTTTGGTCGATCACAATGGTTGATTATTGAAAATAATAAACTAAAACGGACAGAAAGTGTACTTTGTCGTCCTAAACGTAAAATATGAACGGAAATTTTCAATTGTAAACACAACAAAAAATTTAAACCCATTCCCAATTGATTATTGAAAATAATAAACCAAAAAACAGCAGCAAGGAGCACCACGTAAACATAAATTGTTTAATATATTTTTGTTTTTATTAATATTGTTGTACGAATATTATGATTTCGGCGTTAAGTACTTGTAAGAATTAATATATTATTTTTTTTAAGAAAAAACAAATATAATGACTTAAAATATATTTTAGTTCTTAATATAAAAATACATCTTGAAACATTACTTAAAATTTGTTTTATTTTGTTATTTGTTGACATACTTATTCATTATTAATGTTAAGCAAACGTTAAGTGATTAAAATAATAAAATGATGCAGTTATAATTTGATAAATATATAAAAGGATTGCTACTTTTTGGTTTTTTTTATTTCCCTACCTATACTAGGTAAGGAAAGTATTGCGATCATATCAAATTTCCGATATGCGGTTTTCGACGGATCAATACGTTGCAGACCCTGAGTCCGCATTTTTAGCCATTGGTCTGTCTGTGTAGTAAACTGATTTTGTTGCTTCTTTTTTTTCTTTTGTAGGGTTTTGACTACTGATCCCTGTGACACAAATTGGATTCTCCATGCGTAATAGCTGTTGTGCAATAAATGAAAAATATGTTTTTCTATTGATTGTAGCGCAATAATGGATCTAATGATTTTGATGAAACTTTCCTGTAATGTTTTAATAATTGTCCTCTCAATTTTCGTATATGAGCTAAATTCCCGAGAAAATTCAGGAAAAAAAGTTATAAAGAATAAAGAAAAAATATTTTTTTTTTAAAGGTAATGAAATTCCCTACAAAACTATATAAGCATAGTTCATTTCGGACAACTATTAGCGAAGTTACAACGATATTATATTTCCAATGTAACATTACGGGTTCATATCCTGGTGTCAGAAAGGGGTAAATGAGAGGTAAAGATAAGATTGTTTGACAAAATTAAGCTATGTTTTTGATCAGCAATTTTAGAGGGTATTTTTACACTGATCTATAAATTTTTACACTGATCTACGTTAAGCCGGTTTACATTGCTTTAGTTTATCAAATAAACCTTACTAAAATCTTTTCTTTGTCAATTTTGAGGAAAATAAATGTAATTCAATTTTTTTTTTTTATTTCTTGATGGACATATGTAAAGATATAAAAAATTTTCTGAGATAGGTAGGAAAGTCGTGTGAGTGTACACACCAGATTTTTTAATTTGGTATTTGGAAAAGCCAATCAATATTGTACAATGTTATTTCTGATGAACTTCATGAAAGCCTCAATCTTATTTTTACTTACATGTTTTCTTCTTATTTTTTTTTTTCAATTTGTAAATAAAATGTATGAATGTAAACATAGATCCATAATACTTAATGCCCTAGATTGTGGCTAAATGTATTATTTTCCTTAATAATAAAAAAAAAAAAAAATATTGGATCGTTTGGCAATTATATGCTCGTTGTTTTGACACGTTGGGATCACGCGAAACGGCACAGTATTTTGTAGGCCACATTTTTTCCTTATTACATGGTCAAATTATATTACGATTCAAGTGGAAAGCAAATGTGTGTTGATGAGTTTTTATTATCTCATTAAATATACAACATTTACTTATCTCCAGATTGAAGAAAATTTTTGAAAAAGTAGTAGGGCTACGGTAAGATGAAACCATTGACGTAATTTTAGACGGATGTTAATGATTTTAAAAAAGGGGTCTGAGTTGTTGACTATTATCGTTTTTGAAATTTGCAATATTTTATCCGGTAGTTAACCTGCTTCCTGCATTTATGTATAACATATAATGCGTCTTCAATGTTACCGCACTAGTGCTTTTATCATTTATAATTTATCATATTCACTTTAATTAGTGTTAAGCCGCGACTGTACAACAATGATTAATTCTTAATCATGTTATAAATTTGTCTTTTCTATTTAATATTAAATTAATATAGGAGTATTATGGATATATAAAAACATAAGTCGGATAATTCATTGTCTTTCGACCTTGATTCCCATGTTTATTTGCTTTGCCATTCTTTGATATATTGTTGTCTTTCACACCTAACAACTTTGTATTATTATGACATTCCATTTCTTTATTGTGGACATTACCATAATAATAGGATTTTGTTAGTTAATTTTGATTTAATTTATTGCTAGTGGCCTTCTATATCGTTCTGCCTGAAATATCCTTCAGTACTCTCTTATACGGAGCAGCCGTCATATTGACCGCTGTTTTACACAATTTTATAATAAATTCACTCATCCTTAGTTGAATAGAATAAATCAGAACTCGATATATGAGAAAGGGAAACCTCCAAACGTAAAGTAACATCAATATATCATTTATTTTGTTTTATTAACGAACCATTGTAATAAATTAAATTGTAAAAAATTAAAAAACTTAACCTCCCCTACAAAATATGAGGTTTTACGTTTCAGGATAAGTAGAATTCGAAAATAGAATAAAAAATTGTCTCCGAAACTACTGGACTGATTTTTATCAAATTTGGATTTAATGTCAGGGGTGATCTGAGAATAATCCTCCTACATTACTCTCCGCCCTTTCCTTGCAAGATGGCGGCCGAAAAATCTGTGTTGCTATAGACTGTGGCGCCTAATCGAATGTAACGATTTCAATGAAACTTGGCTAAAACTTGTTTTCTTCTCAATGATTTTTAAATTTATCTATATAACATACATAAATAGTGTTGGTTATTGAAAAGTTTATGAATTTTTACTTTTTTATTTTTTCCTAAAAAATCGTTGAAATCGGACAATTTGGAGCAAAGATGCGGTGTCTAGATATTTTTCATATGTTCTACTGCAAATGTTATATTCTTTGATTTTTGAAGGTGTTGCTGAAGCATTTTTTTTATTTATTTTGTTATTTTATTTTATTTTATTTTTTTATTTTTTTTAGCAAATAACTAATCATGAAAAAACATGTTTAGGCTAATAATAGGGGAATCACCTTTTATTTATGTCCCCAGGAACGTAATGTTACTTTAAATGCATAATTGTTTAGAAATAATAAACCATTGTGTAATAATTTGCAGCGTTTTATCTCCTTCACTTGTTTTCCAAGAGATGGCAGCAGCTTTGATGCCCTCTCATTAATTTATTAAAATATAAAATAATTTATATATTTATATACTATAAATATTAGTATATAGTTTTATTTATATTTATTTATACTACATCTAGGTGGCCCTGGATTAAATATGTTGGATGTCTGTCTTATTTGCGAGGAGATGGCGTACGCCTGCGCTGGGATCCAAGCTGCTCTTTATGTTAGCAATGTCGGGGTAAGATTATCATAATTGCTATATCACTGCAGTATTTTTAAAGTTGCATTTAGACGTTTCACAAACTATAGGAAACACATTTATCTAACTTAAATAACAGCGAAATGAAAAACATTAAAAAAAAAGAAATAAAAACACTAGCACAGGGACACAGCCATTTAGATATTTTTATTTCTCATAATTTGTGAAATCTCTAAACGCACCTATAGATTTCAATATTGCAGGATGCTTTTAATAAACGATTTAAACATCAAAATATTTTCCATCATTTTTTAAAGTATGCTAATTACTGAACATTTCTTTTCTGTAAAAATAATAAAAAAATTAAAAACAAAGGAGAGTAGCTTTCCACACAAAATGTACACTAAATTCAAAATGATATATTTGTTAATCGTATCATTTTGTAGAGTTTTATACTTTCACTTACTTACATATAATAAGTAATAAGAGAAAATATTGGGATCGTGAAAAAAATCAGTTAGAAATTTTTAAAAGAAATACATGTTTTAAGGTCTTATGCGTTCGAATAAGCAAGTCTCATTTTTCGTCAAAATCGGCTAAATTTGAAAGTTAAACTCTACATCGTCGAATTTACACGTTTTTATATTATTATGAATAACGGCTCAAGCGTTTTTGATTATACTCGTTAGATTAATGTAAAATCAACTGATCTTTAACATCGCTATGTTTTATTCTCATTGAAATATTATAAAAGAGCTCTAATGCCGAATTTTCAAAATAGCTTCCTGTAATTTCTTTAATTAAACTATGTTCATAGAAACAACAGGCTCTTGTCGTTAGTAGTAAGAAGAAATAGCTAGATAAGAAATCTGGATAAATTTGATAATTAACAGAAAGACTCATTTTCCCAGGATGATAAAAAATGTTCGAAGATACTAATATATATATATATATATATATATATGAGCGGATAGCTAAAGATTTTAGAAAGATTAATATCTGAATAATATGAATTGTAAAGTCTCAAAATTGTATGCAGATGTATTTATCTTCAAATCTCCACCTGCGCCTTCAGATTTTTCTCTCTAAGTGTGCACAGCCGTGACCCCCAAAATTGGTGCTTTGAGTTACCAAGTCACAACCCACTATAAGACAAATCCCAAGGCTCCGAAAATAATTGTAAAACGTAAGAGTTTTTAAAACGTATCTCGAAGGACAATATACCAATGTTAAAGGAAATTGATTAAAAATTATAAATAATAATTTGTGAAAACTAATATTATTTTACTGGAATAAATAATTCCATGGAAAACAAATGTTTCCTATAAAGCTAATAGTTTCCAAGATAACTAGGTGAATATCTCAAAAATTATTATCTAAACTTTATATAAAAACACACTCCTGTGAGCACATTTATAACTGAGACTAATTGATAGCTTTGGCGGAAAATCATGAATTTCCGCACTCCAGATGACAAAAAATGGAATTATAATTCATATTAAATGGCCAATTATAGGCAATTTGCTTGTTATTTTTTAACAAGGAAGTAAAACTTATTATTTTCAAAATTGGTTCAAATTTAAACTACAAAACCATTTTATTTATTTTATCTGTTATGCGATAAATTCAACAGACAAATATGTTGCTATTATTTTTCCTTTTATTTAATGTATTTAGTAATAACATTCAAGATTCAAATATTTTAAAATCTAAACATTAAATCTATCAACTTGAGTAAGGAGCGGTTCTTGTCTTTTTCCAGCAAATGCCAGTCATACTTTTCGGAAACGAAGAACAGAAGAAGAAATATTTAGGAAGATTAATAGATGAACCACTCACAGTTGTAAGTTATTTATTTATGATATTTTATTCATTAACTAATTGGTAGTATTCAGAGAAAATTAAATTGTTCAGTTTATTGATTTGATTATTTTGGCAAACTAAATAAATTTAAATATTTATTTACAGGCATACAGGAGATAAAAAACTGTGTTTTGGCCTAAAATAGATATATGATAAATTATGAGCAAATGGCACCAAACCTGAAGGATGTGACTAAAAAACATAATATTTCAATGTGTTACTATTAAATGCTTTTTCATTGTTACTTAATAATCCTTTCCCTCCCCCCCCCAAAAAAAAAATATATGTTAGTCATCCCATATTTTTTATTGTATAATTATTAAGTTTAATTTTCACTACCTACATATATCTACTGGTCTAATGTATTGTACTTTTTCATATTGTACTACACAGTCAATTATCTTCTTATATTAAAATTCTAAAAATTTGCTATTTTATTTATTAATGGTGTAAGGATGGTTGACCGTTATTATAATATGAGGAGTCGGAGGAGATGTCAAATAAATACTATAAACTAAAATACCTTTGACAGCACCTCCGACCAATTCCTTCTCTTATTTTATTTATTATTTAAATATATTTTCATGCCTCACCATTACATAGAATATATATATATATTTTAATTTATTTTACAAGTAATTTTTATCCACTTGTTTGAATTTATTTCTATGCAGATAACATATATTTTGTTTTATATTTTTTTATAATAGGTTTGGTAATTATCTTTCCTCAGCCATGATGAACGCTTGAAACTTAGGCCTAAACGTTGCACAGTGGGGTAAAACGCTGATTTCTCTGGACATGGTTGTTGTTAGTTTGGTGGTCGATATTTCCTAATTATTTGGATTTCCATTCGACCATTTGTTTTTGGAAATTACGTTGACATAATATAATTTTTGAAGCCTTCTTTTTAATATATTTTTGTAATATTTAAATTCTGAAAAATATCAATATAATACTTTCTATATCTTAATAAAACTGTATATTCTTTTTATTACTTAATAAGACAGTGTATCTTCTGAATACTATGTACTTATTATACAATATTAAATAAATAACATTATAATTGAGTATCAAAATATTTTTAAAAAACATCTGATTTGGTGCTATATAAATTGAAGCGCCAGAGTTTTAGACTGATTTATAAAATATTGGACCATTAAAAACCTTGAAATATTGTAGTTGCTTGAAAACGAGCAATGATATACTTAAAATCTTAAACATTTTTATAAAGGTAATATAACCATTATAAAAATTTAGAATTTTGGTCAGTGTCGTGAATATCCACTTATTCGTGAAGTGTGTGTGTTATTGTTCAACTGAAGATAATTATCCTTAAAATATTCTCAGGTTTATTAAATCACTTCAACAAGCTTTCGTTGATTTGCACCATATTCATGTATTTTAATCTATATCCATTCAGCTGGATGTCGTCTTTCTTTCAGAATTTTTTTCTTTCCAATCATAGAATGTCATACTGAAATATATATGGTTCTAACTGAATATATAGTTTTTCATTCCTTTCGGGTTATACTCATAAAAGTTTTGAAAGAAAAACGACATCCAGTTGGATGTATAAAGATTAAATAAAATAAATATGGTGCACAGCACTGAAAGCTTCTTCAGGTTATATAATAAACGTATGACTGTTTCGAAAGATAATTTCCTGTAGTAGGGAATAAAATATTTGTTTTTTATTTATGTTTCTCATTGCGTCTACAATTCTCAACAAACTTCCTAATCATATTAGCTACAGTAAACTATTTCTCCACCATTATTGATAAATTTAAAATTATTTATTCTTAATGTATCTTTTTAAAAAAATAAGTAACTAGGTTTTTTTTTTTCAATGATAACCTGTTGCTGTTATATTTAACCTTAAATTGCTTAGGCTTACTGTGTGACTGAACCAGAAACCGGTTCAGACGTTGCTGCCCTCAAGACCTCCGCAGTGAAGAAGGGAGATGAATGGATCCTCAACGGTAGGAAGATGTGGATTACCAATGCTGGTATTGCCGACTGGTAATTTTATACTATATATATTTTAAAATATAATATTAACCATATCATAATAAATATATACAATAAAACTTCGAAGTAGCGGACACCTATGGGAAATCGAATTCCGTCCGCTATAAAGAGATATCTATTTTAGAAACTCTGGAAGCAAAATATGAAAAAAATATCAGGAATAATACTTAGCAGTTTAATATTTTAATTTATAAATCATAAATATTAAATCGTTTATTCATTAAAAAAAAATTATTTTTCGAATTAATTTTTTTTATTCAGTTATTAGAATTTATTTATTTGCAGATTACGTATATTTTGTTTTCAGATCTCTTTATAATAGGTTTGGTAATTATCTTTTCTCAGCTATGATGAACGCCTGAACCTTAGACCGAAACGTAACACAGTGGGGTAAAACGCTTGTTTCTCTGGACATGGGTTGTTGTTCGTTTGGTGGTAAATTTTTCTTAATTATATATATTTCAATTGCACCATTTTTTGGAATTTTTGAAGCCTTCTTTTAAATACATTTTTGTAATTGTTAAATTCTGAAAAATAACAATATGATAATCTTCATAACTTAATAATTCCGTCCTCTATCAAGAGATATCCATTTTAGAAACTCTGGAAGCAAAATATGAAAAAAATATCAGGAATAATACTTAGCAGTTTAATATTTTAATTCATAAATCATAAATATTAAATCGTTTATTCATTAAAAAAAAAAGTATTTTTCAAATTATTTTTTTTTATTAATGATATTTATGATTGTACAAAAATAAAAATACATCTAGTGAACAAAGGCGTATGATGACATGGAAAGACTTGTTGAAAATTAGCACTATAATAATATATCTACATAAGGAGATCACGACTCTATCTTCTTTTCAGATACAACGGTGGGTTATCAGTGTTTAGAGTTAGGAATAAGAAGGTTCAGATGGTTCTGAAGTTTGTTATGGAAGGATGGGTATCTGGATTGGGCCAAATTGGAAACAAATGGAACATTAAGGTCTTTATGGATTTATTTGTGAAGATTAGTCCACACTAGTAGACATGTTTCGCGATTTTTGTCTCTGAGACATGTCTCAGTTTTTCGACGTTGACATGTATACAAACCAATCCTCTTCTACAGGCCAGTTACGAGACTAAAAATCGCAGGTCTAAACTCTCCCGTTCGTGTCTCTAGACGGTGTATAGACAAATCCCGCAACAATGTCTACTAGTGTGTACAAAAATTGAAACTAAAGAGCATTGAAGATTTTATAAAGAATTTTGGATTGTAAGGATTGGATACTTGAGGAATTCGGTGGCTTAGAGGATCCACAAACTCCCCATTCCTTATGTCCAATTAGGCCTTATCACAACCCTATGAGTATATTGCAATTAATTTGGAAGCTGAGAGCATTTTGCGATTTAAAATTTAGTCTTAAATCAAAAGTTTTAGAAAATAGTTTTTTTTTTTTCTTTAAAATATTTAAAATGTCACGATTGGCCTACACTATAGTAAATAGCATTTATCTTTTAAGAATATTAGCTTCACGGGCTTCCCGCGCTCGGTTATTGAGAAACTTACCAATCAAACAACTTCCATCAAGCCCGTCCAGAGAGAGCTTCAGTAGGCGTAAGGCCTTAATACCATAAAATTATTTAAAATAGCGTTTATAAAATTGTCCGCTATAGAGAAGAGAAGCTTCACTGAATACTATGGTCTTCCCTAATAACTGAGATAGATAAATAACTGAAATACATCCAAAATAGATTAAATTTTGACAAGTCAAAAATGTAATTTGTCTAAACAAAACAAAACAATTTTTAATTGTTCGATATAAAAATTTAAAGGGTGTCGAGAAAATGACTTTAGCGAAGTTCCATTGAAATCGGTACATTCGTTTAGGCGCTGCAGTATACAGCAACGCAGGTTTTTCTGCATTATTTTTTTCTTTTTTATTTACTTATCAGCTTCTTACGAAAGTTATATTTGGCATTTTTTCATTACTTTGAATAATGTGAAATGATTAACTTTTTAAAATAAACCATATTAAAGGAACTTTAGAAGAAGACGTATATGAACATTGGGCATTTAAGCCTTGTAAAGTGACATCAATGGGGATAAGACCTAATTTATATTAAAGACCACTTAATTATACAATGATACACTGAGTTTAATCAAAATCGTTAGAGCCGTTTTTGAGAAAATGTGTTTCAGCGTTGATATAAAGTGGCACTTCCGGTTAGCCGATTTTAAGGAAAAAGTTGCCGTCACATCTAAGGCATATACCTATCTTAAATACGTAATATCAGTTTTGTAGTACTTTTCGTTTTTGAGCTAGAGTGCTAACATACGAACACACAGACACACAGACATTTTTTCGGGACTTAGTCATTTCGACTCAGGGTACCTCAAAACGACCATTTCCATTGAAAACTCAGATTCAAAAAATTTCTCGATCGCAATACTTACCCTTACTATATATTACATATTAAGTGAAAGTAAAAGACCTTTATACAACATGAAGAGAAATAAATCGAAATTATAAATTATAATTTAAAAAACAATTAGGTTTAAATTTAGATTTTCATCATTTCATTATTTCATTATTAGTTATCCAGGAATAACCTTGGATCTAATTTAACTTTTTTTTTTTAGGTACTTCGTGTTGGCGAGAACCGATCCTAATCCTAAAACACCTACTTCCAAAGCATTTACTGGATTTTTAGTGGAAAAAGGATCTTCTGGGATAATAATTGGAAGAAAGGTTAATCCTTAAATATAATTAACATATAGGATAACTTTCAACACCACTTATCTTTATTTTTTTTAATTTTATAGTAGGTACTAAAACTTAGGTACCTATTTTCTTAAGATAAATTAAATATTTTCTCAATTTAGAGTTTAAATGAGGTTGTAATATAATTATTTCCGCAGTTTTAACTATTATTCGTGGATTTTCACGATTTTCGTATTTATGGTTGTCGTCATTTTGAATACTTTCACAGGTCTCGTCGTTTTCGATATATTCGTCATTTTTTCTCTATTCGCAATTTTGTGGCTTCTCCATTTTCACTGATATCGCGATTTTCGTGATTTTGGCCGTTTTGCAATTAAAATAAATATGTATTATGTTGGATTAGAACTTATTTGATTACATACTGTTTAAACAAATTACCGCTTCTGTACCTAAGTTATTTTAAAGTTGTCTACTATGGTCCCGATGATACAACCCTACATTTAATTTAATCAGTTAAATAAATAATATTTTTAAATTGTGATTTCTGCAACCTATATATATATTGAAATATTTATTACTAGTTTTATAATAGTGCCGATAATTGTTATTATTTTTTTGTTAGGAGTTAAACATGGGCCAGAGAGCTTCTGATACGCGTGGTATAACCTTTGAGGATGTGAGGATACCCAAAGAAAATGTTCTGTCTAGAGAAGGAGATGGCTTCAAGATCGCCATGAGCACCTTCGATGTAACAAGACCAATGGTGAGTAAAGAACAAGTGACGTTTATTCAATTATGTCAAATATAGATTTACTATACTTAAATGACGTAACACAATTTTATATTGTAAATAACCTTAATTTGATACTAATAGCATCATACCGGTTCTAAGGAAGGAAACTATTATTTTTTCATTTCTTTATAAATGAACTAGAATTAATTCATTATTAATTTTTATTTCACATGAGAGCGGCAAAGCATGGTTCAGGTATCCCCAGGCTGAATGTAAATATTGTTTATATGAATGAATTTTTGACAAGTATTTTTTTCTGTTTATTATTAAGTTCTTTTTAATTTTTTTTTCTTTTTTCAAGTTTTTTATATTCTCATTATTTTTTATTGTATATATTTTTTACTTACACGTTTTCTTCTTTTTTTTTTTTTTTATTTTTTTTTTTTTCGATTATTTTAGTTACTCTAAAAAAAAATTACATATCCAATACTTAATACCCTATCAAGCTAATTGTATAATGGTTTCCCTCATCACCTCATAATTTACAAAATTTAGATTGGTAATATTAATATAAAAAAATGTACCTGTTCTTAATAAAGTAATACTTTCTTATTTTGTAATTAAAATGAGTAAATAAAACTTTATATAATTAAACAAAAGAAAATTAATAACTTTAATATACGATAGTGTGGCCAGGGCAAAATTACGAAAGATTTAAGCATTCCTAGAAAATTAACAGGTGACAATATAGAATTCCAAGTATGCAGTACTATTGTAATAGACGTCTCGGAATCGGGCCGAAGTAGAAGGCAGAAAAATAGTGACGAATATGCTGTTATTTATATTAACATGTTATTTATATAGCTACATTATATTAACATGTTATTTATATAGCTACATTATATTAACATGTTATTTATATAGCTACATTATATTAACATGTTATTTATATAGCTACATTATATTAACAAATACTGGTTGGTACAGGTCGGAGCAGGAGCTGTCGGTTTAGCCCAAAGAGCTCTTGATGAGGCGACTAAGTACGCTCTTCAGAGAAAAACATTTGGAATACCCATCGCTTCGCATCAGGTAACCGTTTTTTTTTTTCTAAAATAAAAATTTTATCAAAAAATCACGACCCCAGACTAGCCTCACTGAATTTACAAAATCATTTACTGACTTTACAAAATTGGTACTCACTTTGGAAAATAAGATTAAATCATGACAAGTCACAACATATAACATTTACACTTCGACGAGAAACGTGCCCACATGTTTATATACGAGAGAACCAAATTCCTCAGACAAACACAGTACATTACCTGGGACTAATATTCGACAGAAGGATGACCTGGGGCCCACACGTCAAAATGAAATGACAGACCTTAAACAAGCGATTGAAAATACTATGCTCACTGTTTTCCTAATCAAAATTGAAAATCAGACAAAAACTCAATATGGAGAGAGACACACTTACAAAAACTACAGACATTTCAATCCAAAATTTTATGACATAACTGGAGCTCCTTGGTACGTAAACAACAAAACTTTACTTAACGACTTACGACAACCAACTATCGACCAACATATACGCGATCTCTACTCCAGATTTCATCTTAAACTACACGGACATCACAATGACATGGCCACAGCTGACATGCCTATCAGGAGACGACTAAAGAGGAGCTGGATGAGAGATCTCCCTTCTTGAATTAAGGAAATAAATCAAGACCAGGAAAAAGTGCTGCTGGGTACTATTTTTCCCTCATGCCTAAAATGTCATTTTTTCTTATTAGTTACAGCACATCTGCTTATTTTCAAGCTCATGATGACAGGTGTGGATGGAAATATGAAGACAAAAAAACAATTATATAAGTTAGAAAGTAACTAGTATTTAATAAATTAATTATGTTCTATTTTTATTTTTTTTTTAATTATAAATAGAAAGAGTGGTGGAGGGGACAGGAAAAACTGGCGGAAACGAATCGAGGAGACCAATGCTCATTGGTGGGCTGCAGCGCCGGTAAAGTAAAAGAAGAAGAAGAAAAATTAGGAAAAAAGTTTTATTACAAAACATTTCATTTATATCGTTTCGGACCTTTTATTTTGGCTATTTTCACTCATATAATTTCGGTTTTTAATTTTCAATAATGAACCATTTTAATCGTCCAAAAATTTAAAAAATGTATCCCTCCCTCAAAATTTGACGTTTTATATTTCATGATACGTAGAATTCGAAAATCATATTTAAAAAAATTGTGTCCACCCGCCGTCCCTCGTTTTTTTCTCCCTGCTTGTTTTTACTGCACCGATTTTTTTTTTAACTGTATTATATTAGTCGTAAATCTATGACTTCCTGTCCTACAGTTTACTTTAACAATACCTCACTTATCTCTGTCGAACAAATCCGCTACCTTGGAATCCATCTGGACAAACTTCTAACTTGGAATCCTCATACCAGACTGGAACAAGAAACCGCTCGGCGTTTCTGATTACTTTACCACTTACTAGACAAACGCTCTGAACTTTCAATTAATTACAAAAGACTCATATACATGATTATAATAAGACCTATTTGTACTTATGGAGTTGAGCTATGGGGCTCCCCTAAACCATCGTATTCCTCTCGTATACAATCCTTACAATCCAAAATCCTTCGTAAAATCCTCAATGCTCCCTACTTTGTTACAAATAAAACAATCCATAATGTTTCAGATCTGGCCCAATCCAGATACATATTCTTCCATAATAAACTTCAGAATCATCCCAACCCTCTTGTTTCTTACCTTGCTTCCCCTTCGATTCTTAATAACACTCGTTAGGCGTCTTAAAAGAAGATGGCCCCGTGATCTCGTAACGTAGACATATTATTAGAGTGCTGTCATTGGGTAGTTTCTCAACATGTGTTTTCACTTCATTATTCCATATGTTTAAATTTATTAAATGTATTTCTTTAATACAGTTGTAAATTTCATCAAGAAATATAAAAAAAAAATATTATATTAGTCTAAATTCCATCCTTTTGCATATAAATAAAACATTCTTATTTAAAGACATAGCATATTTCAATGATTATTTTTTAAAAGTATTACACCAATAAGTGATTTATTCGATCTGGATATATATCCTAGAATAGAGAGTCTAATACGTAAATCTATATTTGAACTTTTATCGGAAAAAGCGTCCAGGACAGGGAATCGTCAATCATAACATCAAACACCGAAAAAGACTGATAGCTGAAGAAATGAACTATTGAAGAAGATTAGCGTTATCAATTCAGAAAGAGATCTTATAGCTATTCTCCAACATTCAACTATTCCATAAATTTTTAGTTTATCGAAGACTATCATAACAATATTTTAATTTTTTTACTAATCCCTTCTTTCCGCCGATTATATTCCTAGGTCTCCCTGCAGTTCAAACCTGTAGTTCATTCTCAGAATGCAAGATCTCGTGTTTCTGACCTTTATATCCCTTCCTATAGAACTAAACATTTGAACATTCATTTATTGCCCGATCCACTGCCTTCTGGAATTCCTTGTCACCATGCCTGTTCTTTTCCTCATTCAAATACCTTCTTTACCATTTTCACATTCCGAAGTGACGCATGAAAAACATTCTATGAATCGAATTTCGATTAAAGTGATTGATTGTATAAATTTTAGTTTTAAGAATCAACTCGTTATGCTTATAATGTTTTGTTATTTATTTTTCTGATTTCTGTCTTCTTTTCATTTCAATAAGTTTTTTTTCAAAATGTTTTTATTTTATGTTTTATATATTTTGTCATTGAAGATATTGTATATATTTTTTAACTTTATTAATGTATTTTTTTGGCTAGACATATTTTTTTTTTCAAAATTGTTATTCTTAAGGAGCTAATAGAATACAAGTTTATTTTCTATCTATTCTATATATATTTTTTTTAATTACTAGGGGGTACAACTATTATACAAATTATACAACTGTTCATTCAATTGAGCTCCTGTAACCTCCTACTCTTCTAATACAAAATAAAGATTTTAGACCCGTAATTTGTACGGGAAATGAATAATCACCATAGAAGAGCAGCACTATCGATTTTCATCCTGGTGTCTTCGTTACGGTCCGCCCCATTTTATATATTTGAAATAAAATATGACAGTCACTAAAAACGTTTTTTTTATTTAATAGAGAGATTAATTAATTTCTATGAAAGTCTAGGTGTATCATCATATTTGTACTTATGTATTATATATAATTTATATGTTAGTATTTCACTGATAACTTGAGGTGTGAATAACGCCTTGCAGGGAGTAGCCTTCATCCTTGCAGATATGTCGATAGGCGTGGAAACGGCAAGACTTGTAGTTCAGAAATCTGCTTGGGAACTGGACCAAGGGAAAAAGAACACCCTGACCGCTTCGATCGGTAAAGCTTACGCCTCTGACGTAGCCAACAAATGTGCAACTGAAGCTGTCCAGGTAATGTATCTCATGTATTTAGATGTATGATTTATTGTGTTGTATATTTATATTTTTAAATGAGTGACTGCTGATTTTCGTATGAAATTAAATTTCCAAAAGATTTCGTTTTTTTTTTGTTGTTTTTTTTGCAATTTATCTGGAACATAGTAAACAAGGAAACTTACAAAGGAGTCTTCTATTTATTTACGGTGTGTTAAAATGGATAGATGCAATAAATAGGCCAGTAGCAATAATACAAACTAGATAAATTAATTTTATTCTGGGACTAAAGTCTTAGAATAATAACAGTTCAAAAAATATATACATTAGTTTGGCATGTAGATATGATACAGATATATATATTAAAAAAATACTAAGAAAAGTACAGATATATACAAAAAATAATAAGAAAAGATACAGATATATACAAACAATGAAGAGAGAAAAATATAAAAATAAAATGGCTATTATTTAGCTGTTAATAAGCAATTGTATTCACACAACCTAAAAAATTCTTACAAGCTGGCGCAAATTTGAATGTGTAGCAGATGGTGGAATAGGAGTTGATGGAATTTGTGGACCTGGTTTGACGTATGGGGATAGGTAAGGAGCTCAAAAACAAAATAGCACGATTGAAGAAGGATTTGCTGAAAAAAGTTGTTTTATGGGAGGGGATATATAGATTTATAGATTGAAATCTGGTAGTAAGAGAGTGGATAGAGCTCTAGGATTTAGGGACTATTTTTGGTTCTGAGAACTTGGAAAAGGAAATCACCAAGAAGTAGGATAGCCTCTACAATTCGGTATATAGGAAGAAAACATTGGTACGCCTGGAAATCCCAAAGATGACTCTTATGAATCTATTCAAGAGTCTCTTCAGTCTTTCCTCCAGTCTTGTAAATAGCCCTCAATACACTGCTCAATACAAGCAACTGTAGTCGAAGTGGGGGAAAACAAGGGATGTTCCAAGGAGCTGTTTGTTTTTATTTTTTTAACAATAAAAGTATTTCATAATTAATAAAAGGTTTAAATGGTACAAGTATAAATATTATAAGTACAAGGTATAAAAGTTTATGATATACATTTCGCATGCAGCTAAAGGTTTTAGAAAAATAAAAAAAATATCTAACATATAGAGTTCTAGAAGATACTGGAGAGCGACAATCACCAAATGAATTTTATTTTTTATATATTGAATGAGATATATATTCAATTTTAATTTTTATATATTGAATTATAAATAAAGTACACAAAAATCAAATTAAATTTTTAAAGAAAATATATGGAATATTAATTTTGCATTCCAGCTTGTTAAACAAAAAATATACTATGCACAGCGTTTTTATAATTATATTAATTGTCTTATGTTCATATTTATTTATTCGTTGATTTTGAAGGTTATCTTGAATGAAAAAATCGTGGATTTCAGCCCTAATATGTTTCTGACGTTTCGAACCAGCCATGTTCGTCATAAGAACAATTATTTCTCATTTAAGGTCGAAACTTTGTGTCCGTAATAAACATATTATGACTGTAAACCTTGATTGTTTATCATCCATGAAAATATTCCTAATGATACAGAAAATGATCTTGTTACATGAACTAATCATGTAACCATGGCCATTATTATGTCTTTAGTTAATTTTCAACTAAATTTTCCTTATGAAAATTGTTTAATTATACTATTTAGTTACATAAAATAAGCCCCTGTAATATTCACCCGCCAGGTTTATCAAGATTGATATAATTACTTATAAATATGAATAATAAATTATAAATTTTTGAATGAATGAAAAATTCATTATTAAATATGCATATATTATAAATTTCCAAAATACACAGAACATTTATACGGCATGATTATTCGTCTGCTGAACATTTTATATGTTTTACAGGTACAGTATAATAGATTTTATAAAAATTATATATACATGAATAACTGATAAATAATAAAACAGCTAATACAATATAAATATAATAAATATTTTGAATAATTTATGTCTAAGAAATAATAATAAAGGAAAATAAAGGAAATCAAAAACAATAAAATGAATAAAACTGACCACAAATAAATTAGACAGATCATTGTTTATACTGGATTTAGCAAATTAAAACGGCGTATCTACGCATGTCGAGCGAAAACCGACAATTTTCGACGTCACAGAGGGAGCATTTAGAAGAGAAATTAGGGTGAATCATTTCGGACCGGCTAGTTCCAAGAAATTCGATACGAATTTGACTAAGCATTGAACATTCAGCCAAAATAATGGAACAGGTCTCTCTTTACTGGTAAGTTACAGAGTGGACAATCCATATATCCCCTTTTTTTTTTTTTTTTTTTTTTTTTTTTTTTTTTTTTTTTTTGTTCTTCCCTACCTCGCCTTTAGGCTATACGGGATTTTTCCGGGCCGGGGGGTGAGGGCGGGGAAATTTAAAATCCCCTCCGGCACCGGGACGCGAACTCATACTTTTTATATCATCTCAAATCTCTGTTATCCGGTTGCCAGGCAACTAGCGGTGCTGTTACACACGCTTTAGCCTATTCGGCCACCTCGCCCCCGATCCATATATTCCCTGTCAAGCCATGAGATGTAATTCAAATAAACGAGTAATTCACACCTGAACTTGAACAACCAACTCAACTCGCGCCCAGTCAAACCCCAAAAGCAGCCACCCACGAATTTCAAAATTTTAAGATCATGACTGAATTTTCTATACAATAGAAATCGATCAGAATTCAATGCCGCTAATTTACACTGCTCCCAATATTGCTGGGTGATTGCAGACCGTATTGTTGCCAACTGGTCTTTAAATTTGGTAAATTGGTAAATTATAAATTTGAAATATTGATTATATATATATATTGTTTGTATTGTATTGTTCTTCTTTCGAAATTCGAAACTTTCGAATCTTGTTGCAGATATTTGGAGGTAACGGATACAATTCAGAATACCCAGTAGAGAAGCTGATGAGAGACGCCAAAATATATCAGATCTACGAAGGGACAACCCAAATTCAGAAAGTCATAATCTCACGACACTTGGTCAATGCAGCCAAGGAACAGCGTGCTTGATTTATAAAGAAATCTATACATTTGTCGCCCCACTTGATATTTGGGTACAAGATCACATGAACACACTATAAAAGGGACTCCAAGAATGGCCGAAAGAAGAAAGAGATGTTCGAACCGTCTGGTAACGACCCGTAACATATAACTTATACGTAAAATATTACTTACCCAAGTTTTCTGTATCAAATTATTAACTTCAGTATAAAACTTAAAATGGATTCGTCTTATCATAATTTACAACTTTTTTGTCTACAAAATTTCCAGAAATGGGGGCTTTCTCATTAAATAGATTAATTTATTGAAATATCGAAAACTCATGAATATCCATTTGATTTCTACTTGAAGTGTAAAAAATTGAACTAATTTGATCACAAAATTGAGACTTACAAAAGTAGAGGCCTGTTTTACCCTATTTAAGCTTGTTATTTTGACATATTCCGGCTGTAGGTCACGCGAATGGTTTGAGATTTTGTTATGAAATTTTGTTATTATTACTATAAAGAATTATTATATTCAAGTGGAAAGGAAATGGATGTTACGAAGTTTTTAGTACCTCATTTAGGGCCAGTTGCTCTTACTCAGTAAAGTTTAGATTAAGCATTTTCTAAGATTAAACCGAGTTTTCTAAGGTCGATCGATCAAGATTAAACTTAGTTTAACCTTAGATAACGCTTAATCTAAGCTTTACTTATTTGGAGCAACTGGCCATTAATAGGCAAAGTTTACCAAACTCCAGAATGAAACCGTCGCATTTTCGAGAATTTTTGTATATAAAAAATTGTACATTATGATAAGATAATAATAATTTGATAAAAAGGGGTTTAAACCAGACTCCGATTGTAACTGAAAAAAAGCAGATGAGAAGCTGTAAATTGCAATCTGCATAAAGAGGCATATTCAAGAATAATTTGTAAATATTCATCCATTCTTGGCAATACTGGTATAGTATGATCTTGAGATCATGTGCCTATCTATGGAAGTGGAACAACACTTGTAAAGTAGTACTGTAAATGAATTAATTATTTTTTTCTATTCAATAGTTACATTTTCGTTTTGTTTTCAGACTTTAATATAATCAAGTTCTACAGTATTATTTCTTTTATATTGCATTATTTACCTAGAAACATAAGATTGCTTTATTTTGTAAATAGAGATATAAAAAATTAATACACTTGTTTTAGGGATGATTACATTTCAACAGTTCTTGGAAGTTATATTTTAGGGCTTAAATTTGTTCATATTCTTGTAATGTCCTTTTTTTTAAATTAATTCTATAAGATTGTTATTGAAGGAAGCTAGTCAACTGGGTACTGCTATATAGCCGGTCGGTTGCTCACGAAACCTCCCGTTATCTAATGTTACATCACATAACCGCCCTTCTTATCTAGTGTAAGCTCAGTTATTCCATTGTTTATTTTTTGTTCCTCGTGTGAGCTGTGAATTATTCCAACGTTTATTTTTGTTCCATTAGTATGATTTTCGTCAAATTATCATTGTTTTGTTATAGTTTTGTTACGTAATAATTATTACGTTTCTTTTTGACTATTTCAATTTCAAATCAAACTGTTTTGTTATTAATACATTTCTTTTCGTCCATTTAATTTATATATATGTTGTAAAATAAAAGTATTTAATCAAACTGTGTTGTTATTATTACATTTGTCGTTGTCTATTTAATATATACATGTAAAATAAAACTATTTTCTTATTATTACATTTTTTTTTGTTTACATTTTCAATAATATGAATATAATACAATAAATAAATACGAAGATTGGAAATATCAGTGCCTTATCAGATTATCAGTGTTAAGGTTATAAACATTGGCAGGTAACAGTCGTACCCGACCGTCTATTTAAGGAGTACCGTCTACTGTTCTAAATTTCATGGGTGATATTCAATATTCAGTACGCAGGTATTATAATGTTTTTATTGGTGCCGACGTTTCAATCCAAACACGCCCTGATGATGACCCACATGTTTGGTTTGAAACGTCGGCTTCAATAAAAACTTCATAATGACAGCATCCTGAATATTCATCACCCAATATAAGCTTGTTGATATGATGTATGTAAAACCATGTATATTATAAATTGTATGTACGTTAATATGCATTATATAATTAATCTTATTTTCTTATTTCCTTACACGATCTCGCACTATTTCATAGGACGTTTTTTCTCTCTATTCTCCAGATTGGTCTTTAAAATACCATGTTCTCTTCCACAAACCTTCTCCAGCCCAAACTGTCCCATGCTACCATCCTTTTTTTCCCTCCCCTTCCTCACCTTTTAGGTATGCTGAGTTATTTTGGTCTTGGAGTTAGTTTTCTGGTATCTGGATTAGGAAGGAAAAGGAACAAAACTAGATGGAATGTGGTTAAACAACCTACGCTTTGAAGATAATATTGTGTTTTTGAAACAAATGGAGAAGAAATGATCACTATGCTAAAGGAACTAATGCCATAATGTAAAAAAAAAGTTTTAATCTCAATAAGATAAAATTAATGACAAATAGCGAAGCAATAGAAATAAGAGCAGATAATAACTATATACAATACACAAATGAAAACATTCACGTGAGGCAACTTGTCTTCTTCGCTGATAGAACAAATAAAGAAATACAAAGAAGAATTTCACAGAGCTAGAAAAAATACTGGTCCCTAAAATTTGTTATAACATGATGTTCAAAAAACAAATTTTCGAAATGTGCATTCTTCCAGTTTTATGTTAATGAAGCCAAAAATGATCTTTCACAAAATATCAAGAAAATAAAATAAAATTCTGGCAAAATGATGCAGAGAGAAGCATGGTGAATGTCAAAAGAAAAGCTAAATAAAATGAATTGACATCTAGAAGAAAACAGAGCTCAGAAACTCATTCATTCTAATAAAAAAAAATCAAAATGGAAATGGGGAGGACATCTGTTAAGACAGTCTAATGACAGATGATCATATATTGTTATGGAGTGAACAGCATACGACAACAATAGGAACCGAGGATAACCGAAAAAATGGACTCCTTCAAAAAAGAGGCAGGTCCAACATTGTGAACAAAAATTCATAGTGGGAGATTTGGAAGAAAAAAGCGAAACCCACTTCCCAGTAGAGTTAGTCACCTTGTGAAGTGTCAGACCATTACTCCTTTTAAAAAATAGAGGAAGGCAAGTGCGAAACATTATCAAAGTTTTTAATTTAACTGTTTGTCAAAGAGCTACCACGTATATTATTTGTATGTATATAACTTAAATTCAGAAAAAAATAGTAAATATAAATCAGAAATCAGAGGTTTCTTTCTCTATCCCCCAGATGACTCAATGGTCATTAAAGTACCCTGTTCTCCAGGCCACACTGTACTAAGCTACCTTCCTCTTTTTTTATGTTTATTTATATTTTTTATTTTACAATTATATTGTAAAATAAAAAATTAAGGACTGTTTAATTTAGGGAACAAAATATAGTGGAAACAGTGGCATCTTTCTGTTTTTTTGTTTGGTTTTTGTTCTGCCCTTCTTCACCTTTTAGGCAATACGGAGTTTTCCCGGACCAACGGCTGAGTGCGGGGGTTTGTGACAGATTTAAAAACTCCTCCTGGCACCGTTGAGTGAACTCGTAATTATTTTTTCCTATCAACTTAGGTTATCAGGTTGCCAGGAAATGGGCGGCGGGTTGGCCGAGTGGGCTAATGCGTGTGCACAGCACCGCGGGCTGCCCGGCAACCTGATAACCTTAGCTAGATGAAAAAATATTAGTAGTAGTTCAAATCCCGGTACTTGGTGAGAATTTCAACTCGGAATAATTACCCCGCCTCCGTAAAATATTAATTCCACTGCTTATATAATCTATATAAGAAAAATGATTACTTAAATATATTAGGTTATTATTATGTGATATATGTATTTTTTGTATACATTTTAAAAGGTAAAACATAAATCTTGGTCGGCTAACCTGAAACCCCCTCAAGCCTCAGGCCAAGAAGCTACATATAGCCCTGACTGCTCAGTCTCTCTCGTTGAGCCTACTACTGTCTTTGTACTTTAAAGGAACAGAGGTCGAGAACTTGGTATCATAATTGACGTGCTAATTGGAAGAACTTATAATTTTACTTAAGATAGTTTTTTTATTTGTATTCTAAGAAGACCCCTTTATCAAGAATCCTTCAGCAGTTACAACATACCATTAAGTGTGGCAGAGATAAATATTTCATAATGTGTATACAAATACAAATTTATATTGTTATTGCATTGGAACAATTCATTTCTTATCAATTATTTAAAAATCTCTGGTTTTTCCATAACTTTACCACTTGAATTTAGGAACTTTTGATGTAATTATTTTATTTATATTCACATTATAGATCATTTTAAATTAACCTATGACATATCATATGCTACGTTTCTGACAAACTGCTTATCTAAGTCAGGTAGGAGATTCTAGAAACGGAATTTATGTATATTAACTGTATTTAGTATATTTCTATTTCTATCGATTCTATAAGGGAATTGAACAATTTAAAATATACTAATTACATATTTAAAATAAATAAGAACAGATAAGAACAGAATATTAATAAATAAAACAGACATCCTGCTGTAGTATACTTTACTGAGTTATAATTCATATGAGATTTCCTTTCTGTTGGTATCTTGTGACCAATTTACTTATCATATCAAAATGGACAAAAACAGGAAAAAAGGCTAAAATTCAAATTCTAATCTAAAAAAGATTTGTAGTTGAAAAATTATAAATACATTAACAATGCATTGGGGATGCTGATGTGGGCATAATTGATTAACTTCATTCATTGATTACTTCATACATTGCCAACACAAGTTACAAGTAGGTTTTAGATGAATATTAGCATTTAGTTATTTGCTAGAATATGTAGGGGTGACGACAATAGGGTTTCATGGCACAAGTTGCACTATCAAAATTTTTGAAGGGGAGCACATTCTGACGGGGTTTTGGATTTTCTAGGAGGACACATTTCAATGGGGTTATGAATTTTGGAAATGAAAAGTTTCAATCCAGAGGTCAAAAGAAAAGTATAGAACATATCAATGAAAATGTAGATTAATATGACCTATGATTTTTAAAATTCTACATTAGCTTGTTATTAAGAAGCGCAGAGCGATAAAATATCTTGGAAGGACGCAATCGACCTTGGGAATATGGTGGACTCTTCAGCTATTTCCTTCCGCATCTGATGACGT